GCCGCGGCTCGTGCCCATCTCTGGAGCTCATTTAAGCGGTGCTCTGAATCCCCTCTCCTCACACACCCCAAAACAGTGGTCTCTTGCCTCTTCAGCAGGTCCAGACTTTTTCCCAGACTCCTCCCAGCTAGCTGTGGGGCACTAGCCCCCTTCAGGCTGTGTTCACGCAGCCAACCCCAGTCCTGTCCCTGGGATCTGACCTCCGAAGCCTGAGCCTCAGCTCCCAGCCCCTACCCACCCTGGCAAGTCGTGCCCATCTCTGGAGCTCATTTAAGCGGTGCTCTGAATCCCCTCTCCTCACACACCCCAAAACAGTGGTCTCTTGCCTCTTCAGCAGGTCCAGACTTTTTCCCAGACTCCTCCCAGCTAGCTGTGGGGCACTAGCCCCCTTCAGGCTGTGTTCACGCAGCCAACCCCAGTCCTGTCCCTGGGATCTGACCTCCGAAGCCTGAGCCTCAGCTCCCAGCCCCTACCCACCCTGGCAAGTGAGCAGACAAGCCTCTCAGGCTGGTGAGTGCTGGTCGGCATTGATCGTCTGTGCGGGACTCTCCCCGCTTTGCCCTCCGCGCGCCTGTGGCTGCACTCTCCTCCGTGTCCCCGAAGCTCCCCCTCCACACCCAGCCCCCGTCTCCGCCAGTGAAGGGGCTTCCTAGTGTGTGCAGACTTTTCCTCCTTCACAGCTCTCTCCCAGAGGCGCAGGTCCCATCCCTATTCTTTGGTCTCTGTTTTTCCTTTCTTCTTTTGCCCTACCAAGGTACATGGGGAGTTTCTTGCCTTTTGGGAAGTCTGAGGTTTTCTGCCAGCGTTCAGTAGGTGTTCTGTAGGAGTTGTTCCACATGTAGATATATTTGTGATGTATTTGTGGGGAGGAAAGTGATCTCCACGTCTTACTCCTCTGCCATCTTGAAGGTCCTCCCTGACACATCCCTCATCACTGTTTTATATATCACTTAAAACACACACACACAAAAAAACCTCCTGCTAATTTGAATGATACAATGCTTTCTCATTCCTTTGTTTGTAGTTACTGGAAAAGCCCTTGCAGACACAGATGTATTTGCTTCACTAATATCAGATTTATTCCCTGCTATTGTTTCCATACCATTTTACCTACACAGCAACTTTTGTTTCAATGTTGAATCATAATACAATCTTTCTGAAGACATTTTAGAAGGCAGTAAAGTTCAACACATGTATTACCAACAAGTGCAGGACTCAACCGAAGTACAACATGAACGACTTTGACCAGGTTTGGCTAGCACAAATGGTAACAACTACATCCTACCTCTCCTTGGGCCTGCAGCAATTATAAGATGCTATCAATTGGAGAAGCAACCCTATTTCCAAAATGTCAAAATACAAAAAAATGTGTATCTTTAAATCATTGAAATATGGCAACGTAAAGTCTGTACATATCATCACTCAACTAGTATCAATACATGTTAATACACTGAAAAACGTTTGCACTACTCAATGTAGCAATATTTTTGGGTTTTAGGCCCTCCCTAGGTACTGGGGAATAAAAATCTGACTAAATCATAATCTTTGCCCTTCAGTATCATGAAGGCAACCAACACAGAAAGAAATATTTATAATACAAAATAAGAAGAGCCATAATGGAAGATAAAGTTCTATAGGAAAAGAAGAGGGAATAATTAATGCTGCTTAGGGGAACTGCATTACTATTTTGTAACATAATCTTCATTATTCAATTTTCAAGGATATAATAACTTCATTTTTATGTGCTCCAACTCTAGGAAATTTCTTGAATTTAACTTGGGTTCTCAGACATTACTACTCTTTGATTTACTATTTAAATACGTAAAAGCAAGTACAAAAACTTTTCTAGACAGAAATGTCAAACTCATATCAATTATGGGCAACTTAAAGTTTAGGGTATTTAAGGCAACGTTTTCTTTAAATTTTAAATAATAAAATTATTTAAGGGAGACAATAATCTTAAATAATATAAAAATCACTAAGTAACTTATTTAAAAAGAAATTTTAACAATAATTTAAAACTCGCTCTAGTCTTTCAACAGTGCTAGAAAAATTGGATGTCTGTATACAAAAAAAATAATAATAATAAAGAACCTTGATTCATAGCTACAAAAATAAACCCAAAATAGATGATTTACCTAAATGTAAAAAACTAAAACTATAAAATTTCTAGAAGAAACCAGAGAAGAAAGTCTCTGTGACCCTGATTAGGTAATTTTTTTAGATATGACACCAAAATCCCAACCTACAAAATAAAATGTGATAAATGAGACTTCATCAAAATTAAGAGTTCTTTTCTTCACTGATAAAAGAGTGAAAAAATAAATCACAGATTGGGAGAAAATATTTGCAAATCACCTGTCTGATAAAAGACTTTAATATAAAATATATAAAGAACTCTTGAAGAAGATATAAAGATGCTCAACATCATCAGGCATTAGGGAAATGCAAATCAAAACCACAATGAGATACCATTTCACACCCAGTAGGATAATAAAACCAGAAAAACTGACAAAACCAAATAATGACAAGGATGTGGAGCAACCAGAACTCTCATACATTGCTGGTGGGAATGCAAAATGGTACAGCCACTTTGAAAATTGGTTTGGAAGTTTCTTATAACATTTAAAATATGCTTACCAAATAATCCTGTGATCCCACTCCTAGGTATTTACCCAAGTGAAATGAAAACCTATGTTCCCACAAAAACCTGTATACAAATGTTCATAGTAGCTTTATTCATAACCATCAGAAATTGGAAACAACTCAAATGTACCTCCAGTGAAGGATGGATAAACAAACTGTGGTACATCCATACAATGGAATACTACTTGACAATAAAAGGGACAAACTCCACATTCACAATGACATGAATGAATCTCAAATGCATATGTTAAGTGAAAGAAACCAGACTCAAAAGACTACATACTGAATGACTGCATTTATACGACATTCTTGTAAAAGGGACACAAAATAGATCAATGGGTGCCAGGGGGGTGGGATCTGACCACAAAGAGGTACTGATCAGGGCATAATGGGGTGATGGAAGTGTTCTATATCTTAACTATCATAGGAGACACATACATAACTGTATACATTTGTCAAAACCTACAAAAATTTACACTAAAAAAGATGAATTTTAATGTATGTAAGTTACATCTTAATTTTTACAAAATTCATACCAAATTAGAAAAATGACTTAAAGGAACAACATATTTTGCCTAGCTCAAACCTAACATAAACAATCAGTGTCCACTCTGGGTTACTTCTACATAAGGAAAGAATTCTAAAAGAATACAGTGTAATTTACCAGGAAAGATAAATGTCTAGACTTAAAAGAGTAGTATAAATAAAATAAACTGGTAAACCTATTCCTTCAAATTTATTGAAACCTGAGTGGCAGATTTCCCTGTTTATGAAAACCCTGCCTTTTGACTAAGAACTACAGACACAGGGCAGCTGGTGGAAATGGCCACTTCGTTCGATGGGCTCCATGAAACGAAGAGTACAAAGTATGGTGCTAAGTAAATACAGGACCAGTGGTAAACCAACAACAGCAACAAAACAAACAAAAAACTTTTTGTTAGAATCTGAAAATAACAAATTTAGTTAAAGCAATTCCTACTGCTGTTTGTTTCTCAAAACCAAACCAGTTGCTTAGACACATGCCTCTTTCTAACATGAAATGTGCTGACATTCAGCACATTTTATGAAAAAGGGACAAATGAATGAAGTGTTTAGCTAGAAAAACTTGTCATGTTGCCAAGTTGACATGTGACTTTTAAGCTTTAGTAACTGCTTCACTATCCTCTGTAATTATAGAATTGAGTTTCCATCATTTTTTAAATTATTAATGATATTTTGAGGTAAGTGTTGCTTTAAACTTTTATACATTTCTGTCAGTTAAAAAAAAGAAACACAAATGGATTATTCTTGAGATGGCATTCAAGTCCACTTTCTGCCCTAAAGTGCTGTATTTATTTTGACATAAAACATTCCGAAGGTAGAGATAGACCCAAAAAAGGAAACACCAAAAAATTGTATTTTATGACATGGGGTTTTATTAGACAAAGTTAAACTTTTGGGGGTGAGCCCTGAATGAGGAATTTACAAATCAAGAGCAGCATTTCTACTCTAACACAGCATAACCACATCAGCTTAGGCCAGTCTGCTAGCTCGCTGAGTCTCAGTTTCTTTAATTGTAAAATCAGGCATTGGATTAGGTTTTTAAAAAATACTGTCTATGATAAACTAAACACACAAATATTGATCTGACACAGTGCTTTGAGAACCTTTGTGAGGTGTTTATTGACAGTTTATTGGAATAAAATCACTATTGCCTTTGTACTCAAGAATTGGGTTTTTTTAAAGGAAGAAAACAGAAAAGCCTAGGCCTCAGTTGTATGGATATGCTGAAACAGAACTCAAACTCTCTCTTAATTATTATGACACCTTTTCAAATGAACAAGCATTCCTAAAGATAACCATGCTGATTAAAGAGTAGACAAGTTAAGTCAGCCCTGCCCAGGGTACAGTGGCTTTCTTCATCAGCAAACTGGCTTCCTTTAGCATCCTCCTTACTTTCTTTACCCAAATTGTTGAAACTGACATTAAGACCAAGAACCATGGAACAGGCTTCCCTGGTGGCACAGTGGTTGAGAGTTCGCCTGCCGATGCAGGGGACACGGGTTCGTGCCCTGGTCTGGGAAGATCCCACATGCCGCGGAGCAGCTGGGCCCGTGAGCCATGGCCGCTGAGCCTACGCGTCTGGAGCCTGTGCTCCACAACGGGAGAGGCCACAACAGTGAGAGGCCCGTGTACCGGGGGAAAAAAAAAGGAACCATGGAACAAAAGAAAAAATTCCCTTATTTTTCCTCTTGCCTCTTTTCCACCATTTTAATGCATTTGAGAATCTACCCACTAGCCAGCAGTATCATCCATCCTTTAGAACCCTGACGTATATGCTCTTAACTAATCTATTTTCCTGTCATTACTTTCAGCCCCTGAGTTTTGAAACCAAGAAAAGCTACACCTTAAAAGTGGAGGGAGCCAATCCTCACCTAGAGATGCGTTTTCTGAACCTAGGCCCATTTCAGGACACAACCACAGTGCACATCAGTGTGGAAGATGTGGATGAGCCCCCTGTGTTTGAACCTGGCTTTTATTTTGTGGAGGTACCTGAAGATGTGGCAATTGGAACAACCATACAGATCATTTCTGCCAAGGATCCAGATGTGACCAACAACTCAATCAGGTTTTTCTACACATTTCACCTTATCCTTATATCCTGGAATCTTCCCTTATACCTAATTTTCTAGCACTTTTTCTCTGCTTCTTCCATCTCTGGACACTGTCCTATTTCGTTAAATTCTTTTTTCTTAAATAACATGGACTTTTCATGTTATTTAGAAATGAAGTGCCATTATGTCTACAACTCACTGTCAGCTGGTTCAGCAACACACATACACATACCTCTCAATTCTCAATTGTGGCCTTACTGACATTTGGGGGTGGATAATTCTTTGTTCAGGGGGCTGCCTGTTCAATGTATTGTACAGTGTTTAGCAGCATCTCTAGCCTCTACCTACAAAATGCTAGTAGCACCCCCTGAGTGGTAACAATCTAAAAAGTCCCCAGATATTGCCAAATAGACAGATACATAGATGTCAAAATATTAAAAATCCTTGAATCTTAGTGGTGAATATAAAGGTGATTACTGTACATTCTTTTAATTTTTATGAACCTTTGACTTTTTTACTTTAAAAAATGGAAAAAATAACATATATAAGCACATATTTCCATGTACTATACAACGAACAGACACAGAAACTACTACTGTTGTCAACAGCTTTGATGCCATGTAGACTAGCTTTCTATTGCAAGCCCACATAACAACCTCTCCAAAGTATGTTTTGAACATCAAGATTCCAACCTAGATGCTTCCCCCTCAGTAGGGGTAGAGAGCTGCTCTTATAGCCATGGCCATCTCCTGTTGACTATGGAACCAAAGTGCAAACCGCTGGTGGACAGACTGACACTTCAACCTTCCAGAGCAACTGCCAAGCCTCTGAAGCTTGACACAAAAGATCAGGATTCCAAGGCTGTTTGAGGCCATCTGTCACATTAATTGTTGAAAGCCACACAAATGGATCTAGGGCTTTGGTGCAGATAGCACATTTTAAACACACCCTGATTCATCAAAGGCCTTTTCTGTCAGCCAGTTACTTTCCTCACCTGGTGCCATTTTGTATTTAATGAAAATGTGCTTTTGCAGTTTAATAAAGATGGTTCTCTCCTGAGTTTAACTATACTGGGGGAAATATGCTTCCTCTAACCAATTAGCAAACATTTTACATTTTCAGGTATTAAAATGGCTAAAATTATTTTGCTTGAATTCTGATATTTGATTTTTAGAAGAAAACTAATCTTTATGAGCTGTAACAATTTTATAGAAGTGATATTTAAACCTTAAGCTTTTTAAATGTATAGTAGAAGTTAGTGGAATCATATCATCCCCAAAACAACAACACAAATGAAACCAATTCTATTATAAATTTATATTTGTAATATAAATATTATATTTATATCAGAAGCCAAGAATATATATCTATCTTCTGATTAATCTATTCATATCAGAGACACTACTGCGGGAAAAATCTCTAGAGAATAAAACTTTATGGAGGGAAACTGTTTGAAATAAAACAAGCACAGTTTGAAAAAAATCAGATCTCATTTCTAAAAGAGTCAGTCAGAATATCCAGTGGATGCTTCCACATCTTCTTTCCAGATTCTGATTCTGGACTCCTACATAGTAAGCACTGGAAATATGATTTTGTCAGGAGTCACACTACTAAATGACAAGCAAAAGAGACTGAAAGCAGTCAAGAAACAAGGAAATTCACAAACACACACACACACACACACACACACACACACACACACACACACACACACACACAACACACACACCCCTACAATGAATGTGCCCTATTCAGGACTAAAGTCGTTATCTCAACACATATCTAGGAAGGAAGGAGAAACACCAGCAGGCCTAGATCCACTGCTGGCATGGAGCAAAATGAGGATACAAAATAAGGGAATCCTGTCTGGCTAACAGAAAATGCTGCTTCAGATGATGAGCCACTGAAAACTGTCAGTTGGCTGGCATGGCACTGATGCAATTAGCATCAGGGAGGTCTATAGTGGGGTGCCTGTGTAGTCCAATACATCCCAGTCAGGAGGAATCCAAGAGTGAACAGGCGGGAGGCATAGAGCAGGGTCCACTGGGCTTATTCTAGGGCAGGGTTCTAGGTCCTGAAAGAGAAACTGGCAAGAACAAGGCAACAGCCACAGGCCTGGAGGTAACACGATAAGCGTTCAGGCACAGGGGATAAAGCAGAATTCCACTTATCATAACTAGAGATAATCATCCCTCTGCATTTAGGATAGAAAGAAGGAACAGAATTCATATTGTGAGATAGAGTCTCTGACCCTTTGTACTGTCCCACAGGAACAAAGAATGGTCTCTGGAGCCAAGCAGAACATCAGGGGTCCTGGATTCTGAGAAGGAAAAGCACCTAGAAGTCAAATCTCTGGCTATTACTTAATAAACCCATTTGGAAAGTACTTTCCTATATTATCTTTCACCAAATTGCTTGTTTTCTCCTTATTTATCCTATAAAAGTTATTTTCTTTCAAAAATAATTTGAATATGCCATATGCCGCTTGTCTATCTTGTGCATTTTTGTTACAAATAAATGAGGTTCACATTCCTAAAAAGAAAATGCATATTAAATCACCCAAAAAACAACATACCACCTGAGGTTCAAATGCTATGGATAAAAGGTCACTGAACTTTTTAAAAAGATTATCAGAACTTTTATAATCTCATTTCTAGAAAGTTTATGGTATGTTCAGGCATATAAGCTGGTCATCATTGATTAGTAAAGTCCAAAACTAAGTCTCCAGATTTAGTTATATGTACATGAGAAATACAATGTTTGGATCACCTAAATTTTTAATAAATGCTCAAGGAATTTCTAGCAAGCAGGAAACTGAACCATTGGGCAACTGAAACAGGCTCCTGCTCATATGGAAACAGCTTGTCCCCCTGTGCCTTCCTAGAGTGTGTATGGATTTAGGGAGCCTGTCCATGACACCCTACCTCCAAAATCACTCCTAAATTCAGAGAATGTCCTCAACCAAGTAAACAAGCAGGGAGCTCAATGAACACCAGCTATTGTTGGCTGAAGGCAGTTTTTAATGTGTATGTTATGCCTATTCTGCCCACAGTTGGTGAGAATATTATGATTAGAAAAAGGAATACCACCTACGTAATTCACTAGTGTGTCCCAATTTCCTCATTTTCTATCTGTATCTATGCCTTTAAATTTGTTCTCTTGAGTCCTGAAAATTGGCCCAGTGTCCCATTCAGAGTAATGAATGCTATCATTGCCTCAATTCAGGCCCCGCTTAGGAAATGGAAGAGGAATTCCACTTGAGGGAGGCTTCTCTGAGGCAGACCCGCAGCGTCTCCTCTCAGTGTGTCAGCGGGCAGTACTGTCATGGGTTCTGTCAGTTATTTCCATCATTCCATCTCCCCTACCATCTGTGACATTTGCTATGGCGTTGTAGGTTTGAATGCAGGAAGCTGGTTCATCATAGGCTGCCTCTCCCCTCGGCATTATGCCTACAACTTGGAGAGCTGCCATCAGGGTTAACAGCTCTGTGGGCTGAATGGCTGGCTTTTCTCCTGTTTGGGGAGCTGAAAGAAAAGACTGTCAGGAGCCAACCAGTATTTTTTTCCTAAGATAAATTCAAATCTTAAAATAGCCAGTAAACTTTAAAACTAAATTACTAATTATACCTTAAAAAAAAACGCTCCAGTTAATTTTAAATTAACTTTGTAGGCATATGTTTATTCTTTATTAAATAGTCGACTGTCAGCTATCATGGCTTAATCTATTTTCAAAAAAGAGTTAAGGCTTTGTTTCCTTAAGCAATCTCATACATTCCATATGCCTAAGTTTGATTCCCAGCCGTGCAACCTTGGGCAAATGTCTTAACCTTTCCATGCTCCAGTTTTCTCACCTGTAAAATGGGGATGATAACGGTACCTACCTCATAGGTTTATTGTGGGGATTATATGAGTCAATACAGGTAAGATGTTTAGAGCAGTGCCTGGCTACAGTAACAGGGTCAGAAGCAGAGAGAAGCATTACTTTACTTATTTAAATTTCCCAACACTTGGAGAGTTAGAACTGAAATGTTTCCAACTTCTCCAGGCTTTAGTGGTCACATTTCCCTTTAATTCCTAATTCTCTGAACAGTTATCCTGAATCTCTGCAGGAAAAAATAAATACTCGAAACAAAATACTTTACCAAGTAATAAATATACTGGTATATACTATATATATATATATATCTATTTATAGATATTGAAACCAAAGTTTTACCATCAATATTTACCCTTACTGGAATACAGTCTGGCATACATATACATGTTCTTTCTACACTAGTCACAACCCACCATATTTATTTCAGATTGAAAAACAATGCACTAAAGTAAAGAAACTACTTACTCCCATCAAATGGGCAGTATTTCCCAGTTTCAACAACTTTAAGATAGAGACTGCAATTGCTGGCAACTTTTTTTTTTTTTTTTTGGCCATGCTATGCAGCTTGTGGGATCTTAGTTCCCTGACCAGGGATTGAACCCGGGCCCCTGGCAGTGAAAGCCCAGAGTCCTAACCACTGGACCACCAGGGAATTCCGCTGGCAACTTTTTAATTAATTTTTACTGGATTATAGTTGATTTACAATATTGTGTTAGTTTCAGGTTTACAGCAAAATGAATCAGTTATACATATACATATATCCACTCTTTTAGATTCTATTCCCATATAGGTCATTAAAGAGTATTGCATAGAGTTCCCTGTGCTATACAGTAGGTTCTTATTAGTTATCTATTTTATATATAGTAGTGTGTATATGTCAATCCCAATCTCCCAATGTATCTCTCCCCCCCGCTTCCTCGATAACCGTAAGTTTGTTTTCTACATCTGTGACTCTATTTCTGTTTTGAAAATAGGTTCGTTTGCACCCACTGGCAACTTTAAATGGAATTTTGAACCCAATATGTTACAATAGCTTATATATATACAATATATAAGAAACAGAATCATTTATATATAATTTACAGTATATTATATATTATATATACAATAGTTTATATATAAACACATGTATGTTTCAAATCTTACTGTTAGCTGCAAATTATTAGCTGTGTAACTGTATGAAAGTGACTTAACTTCTCTAA